ATCTCTGGCACTAACCTTTTTATAAAACTGCTTTTGAGCCACATGCTGAAATAAATATTTCTGACAGTGTTGAAAATTTCCACTCACCAATTAATAAACTGTACTGAAACTGTAAGGGTGCCAGAAAAAGTTCACAGATGAACACATGCAGAATTATGTCGGAATCTTTCCAGGGAGCCACTTCAAGTATGTCCTGCCTGGCCTTCCGTCTTCTGGAGCTCTGAAGGAAAATGCTGTAAGTAGAGATGACAGTGTGAGGTCTAAAGACAGGGTGGCTGTGCATAGTGGTTACAGGCCATAACAAAATCAGCCAACCTGGGCAAAATGAAAGGGACAGCTTGTCATCCACCTTTGAAGGGATACTGTTGACTTATTCAGTGTCTGAAAAACACTGTGCTAAAAAGGTCAAGGGAGGAGAAATTCCAGAACTGACCCATCGCATCAGTTACGTTGCTGTTGTTGCCTGGCCAAATAAGACTGTGTAGGTATAGAAAGTAAGGGTTCCTAATAGCTGAAAACGATCAAGGATAAACATCAACACAGCCTGTCCATAAACTGAAAACTCTCATTGTAATATGTGTAAGTAGTGATGGGGGTGAATAACTCAAATGAGGTCTCTCTGAAGTGCTGCCAAATACTGCCCATGGCGCAAGTTAAAACAAAGGCTACCACATGCCATCTGAGATGAATGTAGATTGTCCAGTTCATAGAAATTTGTCAACTGGATAGTTTTTTGCAGTCCTGATGGCACATCAGTTACTCTTCCACTGCTTCTGTTCTGAGCGTGGACAGCTTCCTTGGATCGGCAGATGAGAACATTGTAGTAGTGTCTTCAAGTAATAGAAAAAGAGGAGGAACTTGAGTATGGCTTTAGATTTCTTTATAGTTGCCTATAATGAAGACTTTGGAAGAGCATGCTTTCAAGTCTAAAAATTAATTAATTTCTCTAAGTATGCTGAAATTGTTCACAAAATGTTTTAGATGAGTAAGCTTTGTGATGGAATTGGGTTTTTCATGTAATGGTCTAATATTGACCCAAATCAGAGGAATTAATGTGCAGATGTTGCACCTTTTTTTGTGTCTGTGATAAAGAAAAACACTTAGGGAGAAGATCACAGAAGTAATACTTTCACAAATAGTTTCCAGGAGGTACAAAAGGAGAAACTGTGTGCTTAGATTTGGCTGAATGTGACACCGCTCTTACCTGAACAAGATGAGCAGTGACTTAACTGTGGCCAAAGTTTACTGCAACTGCCTCTGCCAAAACTGCTGTCTTGCCAGTCTTGGCTTCTGCAGATTTTCTGTGAAGCCACAAAAGATCTGTGGGGGGTTGTTGGTGGAGACTCCTCCAGCCCCTGTGTCGGCTGCCCCATTCTGGCACCCGGGTAAAGCGAGTCTCACTGGCCCCCGGGGCTCCTCTTGTCACAGGAGGGACTGACACAAGACTTCCTAATTCCTTTCCCAAAGTATTACTTGCAGTGCTTAATAGATTAACTAAGTGCCTTTTTATGTTAGAGAGAGATCAAATTTGGGTAAAGGTGGCAACCTTTCATAAACTTTGCAAAAGCGTCAGTGTCCCAGGGTGTTGCAGAGTGCGTGAAGCTATGTGTGCGTGGGTAATGAGGAATAGCGCCTGTTAAACAGGGACTTTCTTTTTGGATAAATATGTGTAGGAGGAAGAAAAACTTTAATCAAATGAGACGTTTTGGATCAGTGTCTCAGACAAAACCCTGTTTTCCTCCTATTGGATGAGAGTGGAAGGGGCTAGTGAGGATCAGTGCCTTTTGGCAAATCTTCCTGCTACTTGCATCTCCAATATACAGGTGATGCCTGCTGTGGGAGTCAAAGTTACAAAGATAAAATACTGTTTAAGAATTACGAAGCTGAAATGAGCAAAGGAATGTACAAGAAAAAACAGTTAAATTTATGCCAAAGATTTGCGAGTGGTTTAAAACAATCTATGTTTGACATGGCAAGATGTCTGTATCATTAAAATGCTAACAAAATGGTAAACATCCGTTAAATTTATAAAGATAATGAAGCTTGTCAGCTACATCTTTCTTGTGCCAGTATTCCTGCTCAGCTCAGGTTTGCATGCAGATTTAGTGGAGTGGTGGTGAAAATCTATTTGATCTTTGGGAGCAATGCCAGTGTAAAACTGTGCCCTTTTCTGTTTGATTTGACAGTTGTGTGCTGAAGTGTTTCTGCCTTTAGTTTAGGTCATCTTTATCTGATAATTCTTCCAGGCGTTTTCAAAGATGTGTCTGAAAACTTCAGTTAAATAGGATCACTGGTATCTGTTTGGCAATAGCAGAAGTAGTAAAGTGGCAAACAGAAGCGAACAAATTTCTTAATATTAAAGCCTCCATGAACAAGTCTGGTAGCTGTCTGTTTCCTCTTCTGTACAGACTCCAGATGTATCCTAGTCCACTAGTCCTATCTTACTCAGGCAGCAGAAACATCGTGGACTGCAAAATTGCAATCAGATTTCAGCTTTCCTGTTGGCCTGCCCTAGGTGATCCTGCTCTGGCAGGGGGGTTGGACTAGATGATCTCTAGAGGTCCCTTCCAACCCCTGACATGCTATGGTTCTATGGAATGGTCTGTACTCAGCCAAGGAGTAAAAAGAAGATTGCATTGTTTGAAGGAGGATGCCAATTGTATTTTAATTTTTAAATCTTTTGTGCCAAATGCTTTTTATTCCATAAATACAGCATCAGAAATGTAGCTTACCTCTGATTTTAAATTTCAGTTAGAATTTATCTCTAATCTTTAAAATTTAGTTAAAATATGTAGCCATAACTTCATTGAAATATGTATATCTAAAGAGAGGACAGTTCTTTTTTAACTTCGTGGCTCTTTAATTGCTTATGAACTTCAAAGGAAAATTTGTAGAAGTTAGATTGATGGTGGTGCTATATAGGCTTTAGATAATTGAATACAACATAGCTGCTGTTTGAATACAACTCTGAAGTCCTAGTTATGTAAATCTACCGTTTCAGAACCAGCTAGTAGAAATAATCATCATTTTTTGCAGTTGAAGATATTTTCTTTGGATAAATCCTCTGACACACTGCTTTCCTATTGATACTTTTTTTTTCATTACGGATATGAAAAAGGAACTATAGGCATGTTAGCCTTTAGCTTTTTGACATTTCTGACTCCCCTTGAATGAGCTTTGACTTACAGTTAATTAAACACAATGAATTTCGTGAGCTTATGCAGAAATAAACCTTACATTTATGAAAGTATTGGGATAGGAGAAGGGAGAAGGTGTCTCAAGTGTATCTTTCCTTTCACATTGCGCAGCTCAGCTGGGATGATGTTCAACAGTTCTGTCTCCATAGCTGTCAATGACCCATCTTTGTGCAACCATCACACTTTTCCTACAGAAGAAACAGAGAATAGATTATAGCCTGCTATTCATCTGCTAGAGCATAATGTAATGTTTACTGTGCTACAGCTGTGATCAAAATGACCGTCTCTCCAACATCTACAAAATTTGAGCTCAGGGCTAGTTGGAACTGTTTGGTCGTCCAAAAAATCCATGCAGCCCCATCTGGCTTCTGAACTCAGCTTTCCTCCTTGATACCACAAGATGAGCTTGAAATTGTGTCTGTAGAGGCAGGATGACGAGATGAAAAGGAGGAAAATTTCTACTCTGCCTTCAATTTTGCGTGTCCTTAACAGAGACAAATGGAGAACCCTTAACAGAAGACTGGTACTTAGGCAACCCATATGGATTGGCTGGCATCTTGCAAGTAGATGTGAATTATTTAAGAGAGGGAAAACTGCTGGTGTATTCTCCTTTTTTTTGTTGCGTGCTTTTTTTCTTCCCCTCCTCCTCTTCCTGACTGGATTTAAAAAGCTCAGATGTCTTTTGTGAGAAAAAGCTTATGTATCATGTCAGCTCTGCTTGAGACAAGAGTAACTCCAAAGAGGACTGCTATGCTCCCAGCTGATGTGCTGGAAGTGGGAGAAGGAGGTAATTACGGAGAAATTCTGGCAGAGGTGGGAGAAGCAGAGAGTGACTCACCCTCCTTTAGAGGTGTGGGATACTTGTGTTCCAGTGTTTATTCCAGTCACTGCTGAATTATTTATTCAACCTAGGAAGGAGAAAATGAGATTTTTTTTTTTCTTTTTTGCTTGTTTTGCCTCTTTTATGTCATTGAGGGAGATTTTATTTGAAATCTATTTCCTATGATTTCAGAAAATCATAGGCATAGCTGGAAGCTGTGTACTAGGCACACTATTGTGTGAATAGGGCAGATAACTGGTTAAAAATAAATATTTGGACATCTGTGCCTTCCCATTCCTTCAGGGTCTTGCTGGGGAACGATTCTCAAGTGTATACAGAAAGAATTTCAGCATGTAGTTTTCTGGAAAGCTCTTGTTTGGAGAAAAATATCTGGGCTCCACATCACATGTCGAGAGTTGTATTCATTTATATTCTAGCTGATTATTTGTTTGTTGGCTGTTTTCTAATATTTGCTTTTCACTCTAAAACAGAAGGCCTTTTTAATATGTTAGGTGAAATGTTGTTTGTAAAGCACCTGATACTTATTGTCAGAAGAGGGAAAAATAACACACAGCTCACTATTTGGAAACAAAGCTCTGGATTTCAGCTTGCATGTGTTGTCAGTGCTGGCTCATGTAAGAGGCAGCCATGTATTGCAAAACATCTGACTTTCATGGGTGCCCATCCTGGCCTTTCTGGCACGGAAGGATTTTTCAGCTTTAGAAAGGATTTATTCTACCTGCCAGTGTGATTTATGTACCATATGTCTCCTTCCGCATCTGAGTATCCATGGCCATAGGGAAGTGCTCTGCCTCATCTCCACAGTGTGGAAATAGGTTTCTTTTAACGATATTAACTCCTACAGAGCCACTTTATAACCTCCCTGTATTATTTTTTCTTAGAGGTTGTGTGAGCTATGCTGTGTATGATGTGGAAAGGAGAATATTATGAATTCCTGGTTTTGTTTGCTCTTGGCAGGCACTACTACACTTCCCACCCTTGTGCGCACACCTACCTTGATGATGCAGCCTTCCCTGGATATCAAACCCTTTATGTCCTTCCCTCTGGACAGCAGCTCTGCTGTTGGATTCTTCCCAAATTTTAACACAGTAAGTAAAGGTCTTTCCACATTTAGTTTCAGTATATGCTTTCCAAGCCTGGTCGATTATCCAGCATTGAAGCTGCCTTTAAACATTGCGTCACTAGCATAGTTCTAGAGAACCCTTCTCGTCTGTGCTGTGGTGGTTACTGTTCCCTCTTGTGAAACGCTTGGAGTGGGACCCAGACTTATCACTGTGAACGGGGATGATCCTTATGTATCTTGGTCTACTGGGGTGATGTCTGAACACTGGAAAAAAACCAAAACCAAAACCCACTCAATAGATATTTGATGAGCAATAGAATAATTTTGAGCATTTGCCTGGGCATGTGCATTTCCATGTGCTGTAAAAGAGAAAAAAGCAAAAATTAATGGAAAAACAAGTGTGACATGAATCAAATGAAGTCTGTTGCAGCCAGTGAAGCAAATGGAGGGTCTTGTTAATTCTGTATAACAACAATAAAGTCTAAAATTGCTCAGCCAGCCAATGTAAAAAACGTGAGCCTACTACTTTTAGTTTATGCAACACATCTTGGGTTTTTGCAAAAGAAAATCCTACTATTGCCAAAATAATGCTCTATGCTTCTGTGGTTCTGCATGTTTAGCAGAGCAGCAGTAACACAAATACTCTCTATGGTAGTTCTCACTTCTTTAACAGATCATAAAATGGTTCTGAATGTTAACAAAATGCTTTTTTTGCTATCGTGCTTTATCAGTTGTTTCATTAATTATTATCTTAAGTGCACCAAACCTAGAATTTTGCATTTTGCCACTCAGATTGCCATGTGTGGCGGTGGTTCACCATGGAACAAGTCGGCAAATGGTTGACTAAAAGCAAGAGGAAAGAAACTGCTCTGGGTCATTTCTGCCAAGTCAGCGAGTACAATCCGTACGTGACCGTTGCATGAACTGGGCAGCATCCAACTTGTCACTAATTATGGGGCAGGGGGATGGAAGGAGAAGCAGTGTCAGCACTGCCAGACTGTGATCGGCTGAACCACTGCCAAGTGTTGCCTTTTGCAAACTCACCTTCTGTCTGAAGTTAAAACAGCAAGAGGATTGGGTTTTCTTCATGACTCGCAAGTGCATCTTGCTGCCAGGCCTTGCGCTGCAGCACACGGGGCTGTGGGAAGGTTCTGAGGTCGCGTATCAGCAAGCTTCATTTGAAAGTCAGCAGCCCAATGCATATTATAAACAAGAGCAATTATTGCCAGTTCATTGCAAAAGGTACATGTGAAAATTGTGCATTTATGAGGGAGATGTAGGAGGATGTGCATGTGTATGTATTGGGGTGGTTGGGTCCATGTGTCCAAAGAGATAAAAAAATCCAAGTATGTTTAAAATGCAGGACCAAAACTCAGTGAAATTTTAAGCAAGCCATGTGTCATTCTCCCTCTTCTCAGCATGATGCAATTCATACTCATTTTCCATAATCTTTCTAATACATTCAGTAATTTTGTTACTGATTTGTCTTCTTTCCAGTTGCGCTGGTTTTATATGTGAGCATTTTCATAGAACTGTACATAAAGACTCAAAGAACCTTTTCTTTAGGGATGCTATAGTTGTAGAGTCTACAAAAATCATTTGCTTGCTGGTGGTATTACTGAATTTCTGAGTTGCAGTGGCCTCCAGGGACAGATTAATTTGGATATTTACACTGGTTTTGCCTATGTGCACTAGCTTACATTTAGCTGGGTTTGCCTAATTCCCAGAGTGTTTATCCTTCATACCTGTCATTCCTTTCCAAACTTCTATGGGGTTTATTTTTAAAAAAGAGGCTGAAGCCTGGGGTAATCGGCAAATATTGCTCAGTGTCTACTTCCTCCCTTAGAATTCTTGATAATTATATAAAATCATGCTGCTATGCACCACGGACACTACATGTTTTAAAATCTCTTTATTGAGGAAAAGTGTTTCAGTACTACTCTACTTCTAATTCACAGACTTTGCCATTTGTTTTGCAGGTATTGATTTTCCCTAACAGTCTACGATGACTTTAAAGCTCATTGGAAAACTAAATCATTCATGGTTATCTACTGACAGGCACAGTGACTGCCAGCCATCATACCCTTCCTTTCTTTCTAATTTTGCATAATGTTTGCCAATGTAGATTCTTATGTTTGGATATATATAATCTTTTTTTTCCTTTTTCACTGTAATGTGGGGGGAGGGAGTATGTCAAAGTTTGTAAAAAGCCTTTTTCCAGAAGATGAGTTTGAGTGCCTACAAGCTAGATCCAGGTGACATCCAGAGTGCTTTAATTTTTCAACTTGTTTAGGAACAGAGTATTGGAAGAGCTTTTTGTGCCTTCCTCTCAAAAAAGCCATCATTTTCCTTATGGATCAATCAGGAAATCTGTGGATCGGTCACTCACAAGAGGAGTTGTCAAGGACTGCAGATAGTGAAACCTCCAGTGTGCAGCACTCCATCTCTTTGCCCTCAGTGGGACTGAGGGGAGCATGCAGCTCATGCCAGGGCTGCTGTTCAGGCTTGTTTGTGAAGGTGGCAAAAGAAACGTGGTCTCAAGAGAAAATTTCTTTGGAGCCACATGTTCATTTTCAAGAGCAGGCTAAATCTTGCCAAGAGCTGGTTTCTGACTTATTTCAGTGGCCTAAAAAAAGAAAAGTTTGTTCTTAGGTGCTCAATATAGTAGCTACCAGGATAGGAACCACAAGGTAAAATAGATTAACTACAAACATGTTTAAAGGAACAACCCTGTAGAGTGTTTACAAAGAACTTCTCTTATTTATGGAAATATTTTTGAAATCTAGGGTAAATCCTTTTTTATATAGTTAACTTTGACAATTTCAATTCATTGGAAACATCTGTGATGCTTCAGATGAAACATCAGTGTTCCCATTTCATTTGTGCAAGTGTTCCCGATCACTTGCTTGTCTCCTCATGGGGTACTTCCAAATGAAGCACTGAGCAGATCCTGTTTTGTTGAGATTTTTTTTTAAGAAATGCCTACTCCAAGTGTACCTTATTTTCTTAACAGAATTGGGTGGTTTAGTTTAAAATGCCTCCCATCTGTTTCTCTTAAAAACATCAGTAGTTCTAAAAATGCTGTGGACGTATGCATAGTACTTATCAATTCATGCCTCAATTAAATTTATTTTTGTTCCTTAGGTCTTGCTTAATATATAGGAAATAATAATTGCGGTATGATTGCATTAGCTCTTTGGATACATGCCCTTTTATTCCTCAGTACGGGTGCTTTTTTGTTTCAACAGATCAGCCAGAAAGGGGTCTTCTAAGGGCAGAATGAAGGATTGCAAGCAGAGAGGTATTGCGGAATAAGTGCTTTCTTCTTTCCTGGTCTGTTCACAGCACCAGCAAATAGTTTTGTCAGAACAGGACAGGTATGATCAGGCTGTTTCAGCCTGAACCCAAGTTGCTGCGCAGAAGGACAAGCCCTCTCTCAGAAGTGCTGCAGCACTGGATCCAAAGGTGACATCATGTTTGTCCTGGCATCAAGTTCTAAATGGTCTTGCTCAGTTACTCATACCTCACTGTCTGAAATCCATAATATTCTCATCTGTTATTAATTAAAATGTTGTTGTTTATAGCAGAATGGAAGTCAGCATTGTAGGAATGTCCCAGATTGGTACCTCCAATTTGCAGCGGATGCTATATGGAAAGGTATTTTTTAAGCAGAGCTCTTTTTTCAGCATGCTAAAATGACTCTGATGGTTCCTTAGCGTGTAACATTTTATACATTGATTACACTTAAACATCTGTAAGACTTTAAAGTCAAGTGCATCAAGTCAGTTTAAATCAAAGTTAACTTTGTGCGTTTATTATAATGTAATTCTGAATTTTACACTCACTGGCTTCTACCACACAGCTTCACCTTCTGTACCCTTCTTTCTCTACGCCTCCCTGATTCTTTGACTCACATCATCCATCTTGTGTATTGAATCAAGAAAGGATGCTTTGTGATCACATCATGGAAGGTTACCATGATGCATGCACTAAGGTGGCTGAAAGCCAGCATTTAACTTGCAAGGCACACTTGATGATCACTGTCTGCATCTGCTTAGAAAGGATGTATACTCCCCAGGAAAAAAAATAAATCTAAGAACTCCAATGTGTTCTGCTTTGTCCTGAGGTGAGAGCAGCGCTATATGATTCAAATTTAGTCAAAGTGGTACAGAAAGTCACCCATCAGTCTGCACAAGAGCAGTTCAGCAACTTCTCAGATTCTATCATCATAAAAAATAATCAGCAATTCATATACTTCCTTCTGAGTTTGTTATAGCCTCAGGGGTAATCAAAGATTGTAGCCTTTCCTGTAGCTTTCACATTAGTGAAATACTTTCCATCTAACTAGCCCATGATTAGTTTCTAAATACTGGTTCATACCTTCATATTTTAGAGGAGACACGGGTTAATGTGGCCTAGTATTTGCTTCAGCATCTATTTCTTTTCAAGTAGGTTTATGCTGATTCTTTATGTTAGAGTTCCCTCAGTCCCCTTGCAAAGAGGTCCAGGAGCATTCTACATCTGCCAGTTGAAGGTGAGCCAGCTGGAATGGGCTACAGGAAGGGGAAGAGGAGCTGACTAGTAACTTAGACATCTTTGTCTCTCCTCCAGCATTAGCCATGTCTGAAATACGTATCCCTGGTCTACTCCCAAGACAACTACTAGGAGGGACTAATTTTCTCTTTCCTCTTCTGCATTTTCAATTACATCCTTCATTTTTATTTGCTACCTAGTTCTCACTTGAAGGGCCGGTAATCAGCCAAGGCAGAAGTGGAGGTCTGCAGATAAGAGTGCAGGGCACTCGCATCGCCGGCTTCACTCGCCCCTCATCTGCCAAGTGCCCCTGGCACGGCGCCACAGCTCAGGAGCTTTCACTTGCCTTAGCAGCATCTGAATTCATCCACTTAACACCCTGCTGCAGTGCCAAAGTGTGCTCTGGAGCCAAGGATTGTGTACAGGAGGAGCAAATTACAGATGTGACCAGCTGGATGTTGCCGAGCCATTATCTATGGTCCTCTTTATCCA